CCGTGTTTGAAGATGTGTTTAAATTCCGGGCCTACATTCAGCAGACGCCGGAGGCCAGCTCCTGGCCAGCGAGCATTGACGCGGGGGGGCCCTCCTGGGATGTTCAGGGGCTCTTGGTGGCAAGGCCTTCGCACACAGACATGCAGGGGCAGCAAGGCGACTCCAGCCTTCACCTGGTGTTTGTTATTCCATGTCAAAGCCTTATCATAAACATTATCCTAGAGTGGGCCACCGAGGCTACAGACGAGGAGGGTATGTTATTCTAAAGAGTCCGGGAGCAGAAGGCATCAGGGCCCAGGAGTCTGTGAGCAGTGCAGGCTCAGGAATTCAGGGTGAATGGGAGGGAGATGGCAGTCAGAACAAGGTGCTCCCTAACCACCCTCTACTGTCATGGCCACTTGGCAAGTCTGCTTCCAAGATGAGCTCTGAGTGTATGGAAACCAAGCCCAATTAATCCACCAATCCCAGATCCCTGCAGGGAATCAACAGAAGGTAAATGTTTGTCGAATGAATGAACGAGTGCCACTTCTTTATGCCTATTGGAAGTGCCAAGAATGCTCATGATGGAGCACATTTTACTTTGAAGTTTGGTTGTGGGACCTGCTCTGGAGCCAGACAGACATGATTTCAAATTCTGGCTCTGTACTTTACAAGCTGTGCGGCCTTCCGCCTGTCCTTCCTCTCTGCTTCTCTGGTTTTCCACTTGCAATAGGGACACTATTCCTGCTGGCTATCTCCCAGAGAGAGCAAGAGGAGGCACTGGTGATCAGTTAAATCGAGAGGGTGGTTCCACAGCTGGACTGCCCACATTCAAATGCATACCCTGCCCCCCTCCAGTTCTGTCACCTTTGATGAGTTAATGTCTCTTCGTTGTTTCTGTACTTTTTTTTATTCTACTAAATGGAGTTAATATTAGCCCTACCTCAGAGTTGTTGTAAAGATTAACTAAATCAATATGAGCTTAAAGGGTTCCTGACACATAGTAAGTGCTCAATAAACATAGTGATCCTAATAATGACTGGGTGAGGACTACTTCATAAGTTGCAAAGGATGGATATGGGGTACCAGGTATGGGGAAAAAGACCCATGATTCAGGGTCAGCCTCCTCCATTCTGAAGCAGTTCCTGAATGTGTGCAGTTCAACAGTGAACACAGGCAGTCTTCCTGCCCTTGCCAAGCTCTTTGTCTAGACAGGCAGATTACAGGGAATTATCTGCAAAGGGCACTTCATGGGGATAAGTGCTAAGACCAAGGGAGGCAGCAGGGTCTCTGGGAGCACCAACCCCACCCAGAGGTAGGAGGGTTCCCAGACAACAGGCTCGGGTTGCAGTCCCAGCCCACCGCACTCTGCTGTGCCACACTTGAAAGGCCTCTTCAATCATCTGGCCTCAATTTTCTATCAGTAATAAGCTAATAATAAACACGCCCTGGCTATTTCTGGCTATTTCACAAGGCTCCAGAAAGAAAATGGGTGTGGCCACATGTGCAGGATGAACATGGACTATGCCAGTGGACAGCTGGAAATCCAGCCCCAGAGGTCCAGGGTACTGCAAAGCATCCTGGGCAGGGTGTCAGGAGACTTGGGTGCGAGCCCACTCTACACAGTGTGTCCTTGGGTGCACCCATTCTGGGCCCCTATCTCCTCTTCTCTCCTGTGTGTGGAGGGCACAGCATGAAGTCAGTGGTCCTCCAGTTGGGCTCCAGGATACCCATGGAGTCCACAAAGAAGCATTGGGAGTCCCGGCTTCAGGGGACCTTGAACTAGCAGGACGTCAGGCTCCAATCATCCTCCCTTATGTCAATCAGGGAAGTTTCCATTTTGTCTGCTCCACATTTTGAATCACAAATAATTCCTCTGGAAAACAATAGCAAAAAAAGGATTCCATGGCTAAAAAAGGTTTGAAAAACCACGGGACCCGATGACCTCCAGGGGCTCTTCCAGCTCCAATTGGGAAAAGTTAAGGTCTATTTTCTTCCAAGTGTCATTTAGCAAGCATTTATCCAGCACTCTCTACATGCCAGAATTGTTCTTAGCACCTTACAGATTGTCACGTGCTTAATTCACTAGAACACCTCCTAGCTCCATGAGGGCCGCATGACTAAGGAAATGACTACATGTGGCTAAGAAGGTCCAAGGGAGCCATTTCTCCTCCAGGCGTGTCTTCTGCATGCCTGGGCAGATGACCTCATCACAGGCCAGGTGGTGCTTGGCCAGCCCTACTCTGAGAAGCATCAGGACAGGTGTGTGCAGTGGCAGAGTGTGGTCCCAGGAGGTCTGTGTGTCTCAGGCCCCAGAGGATGGAAGCAGAGCATTCCAGCTTGACACGGATGCTTTCATCCAAGGTATGTGCCATGAGGGAGGAAGTGCCTGTTGCCTTAGCAATGTCCTCAGCAACAGGTCTACTGCCTCCTGTGATCCATCCACAGCCACCATGCTGCCATCAACACCCTGCACCAGGTGGCTGCAGATTGGATTTCAGGGGTAGTGGCCAGAGCCTGGAGAAGGCCCAGAGGTGGGGTGGTGGGATCTGACCTCATCTCCAGCCAGCTCATTATGGGGAGCAGACTAGGCGGCTGCATCCAAGTTCAATCCAGCTCTCCTGACCGTGAGGAGCAAAAGCGGGAGGAGATGGATGGAGGTGACCTAACAAGCACAGCTTGGCCCCATTGCCCATGACAATATTCTTGGCCAGATTTTGTGGACCTATTGCATGAGCTTTTCTGTTCATATTATATATTCTGGGACCACGTAGCTGATGCCACTTGGTGGGAACTTCCGCTATGTGTTGGTGTTCTGCCCCAAATGCAGACAGAGTACCAAAATTCTAGGGGCTAGTCTGAGCGATTACTAAGCAGCTTTGAACTATGATGTGACCACAGCAGGCATCAACGTACTAAGGAAAGGAGAGGGGAACATGCTGTCTTTACTAGGACCCATGGTTGATAATTGCAAATACAAAATTAGTAAGGGACACTTCCTGCTTTCAAGAAGCTCGTAGCCTAATGAAAGAGACAAGTGGCTAACAGTGGTTATAATCTAATGTTCATACCCCAGTGGAGGGAAACATGGATGGAAGTGTCACCACAATTGTGCTGTGTGGCAACAGTGGTGGGCGTTTGCTCGGCTGTCAGGGCCCAGGTGCAAGTGGCGCTGCCAGGCTTGCTTGTGTGTCCGGAAGCTGGCTGGCTGTTGGCTGGTCTAGGATGGCTTTGGTGGGAGAACGGAAGCAATGTGGCTCTGTACATGTCTCATCCCCCATCAGGCTGGCCTGGGCTGCTCAGGGCAGTGGTGGAGGTGCAAGAGGAAGCAGCACATTTGCGCTTTTCAGGCCACTATTTGAAGTGCTTACTAACATCCCATTGGCTATAGAGCAAGTATAGAATCAGAAAGGGGGGTGGGGGGGGCGGTACCAAGTTCTTTGGCCCAGGGTATGAATACAGGCAGACCTTGGGAGTCCCATGGATGGGCCAGAGAAGTTCAGTGGAGGAGACATCTGTACTGAGCCTGCATGGCCAAGTCTGAATCTGCAAGTGGAGAATGGAGGTGGGGTGCACAGAATAGCATGTGCAAGGCACAGAGATTGCTGAGTAGTCAAACATTCGGGGACACAGGGCTGGGTAGAAAATGAGGTCATTGAGCAGCAGGGTCCTCAAAAGACTGCCTCAAAGACTCTCTTGAAGAGCTAGGCCTTTGTCCTGAGGGCAGGAGGCACCCTTGAAAGTTTTGAGCAAAAAAAAAAAAAAAAGAGAAAGAGACCATCAGATTTATGCTTTTAGAAGTTGACTGTGGCAGAAGAATATGGGATAGGTGGGAGGAGAGGGGGTCTGTAGGGGAGGCATGGGGGTGTCTAATGCCATGGACCCAGTGAGAGATGCTTGGGCCAGCATTGGTGTGGATCAGGAGGCTGGGGGACTGCCACTCAAGACAGTGTACAAACAGAAGAAGCAGGGCCTGAGGACTGATGGGACAGGTCATCGGAGACCACCTTCTGACATTTTGCACAGGAATTGCGACAAGTCTTTCCCTGTATCTGTGCTGGATAACTCAGATAATGTTAGGCTCTTCCTTGTTGTTGGCCAAGGGAGTCTGTGATACAGTCACTGTGTGAAACTAGGCATGTCCCTTCTCTTCATGGGCCCCAGTTTCCCATCTAAAATGGGACACTTTAGATCATCTCCCAGGGCCCTAGGACTTCAAGCAGGCCGTGTTTCGTTAGGACCTGTGTTCCTCGAATGCCAGAAGCACTCAGGCTATAGAGAAGTTCCCAAGGAGCCTGTTAAAATGCACACCTTGGGCTCCACCTCAGAGATTCCAATTCCAGGTGGAGCCTGGGCATTTGTGTAGCGCTCCAAGTGATCCGATGCCTGGCAGGTCTGCCTGGGACATAGCTGTGTCACCAGGACCCAGCACCGTGGCCCAGAGCATAGAGGCCCTTGAGGAAACACATGCTGAATGTCAGCACGGTCTGACTTGGGGAGTCCAGCCCCTAGGCCTTTGCCTGCTGTGAGGACTGCTTCTGGAGCAGGTGGCATCTGGGTTAGGCTTTGACATCTAAACTTGTTTTGGTCATTTGTGTTTTTTTGGAGGTGTTCTTGATTACAAAATGAGTCTATGCTTATTATAGAACTTTCCTAAACACAGGAAAAGAAAGGAGCCCAAAGTAAAAAGTACCCATCATTCCAAAACCCAGGTACAACTAGGGCTCTCATGTTGTCCCATCATTAGATGAGATGTTAATACTCCACGCAGGAGTGGGGACCTGTTTGGGCAGAGGGCTGGAGATGAGAACAGGCTGCATGTGTTCACAGGCTAGTGAGTAAGGAGCTGGAAATGTGGAAACGCTGAGACTGCGCCAGCTGACGCTGGCCTCACACACCTTCTCTGTTTCAGGGCCTGTTGCCCCAAAGTCAGGAGGGAGGAATGCCAGTCCCGAAGGTGTCAGGGACCTCAGCCAGGCCCCTGAACACAGTCCTTATTTCTCTTTCTCTCCTCTGCCCAGGTGTTGTTTGCCCTGAACCAGACCCTGCTGCAGCACGAGAGCGTGCGAGCTGGGAGCCTACAGGCGCCCTACACCACGGAGGACCTCATCAAGCACTACAACTGCGGGGATCTCAATGCCGTCATCTTTAACCATGACACGTCACAGGTGAGGTTCCCCCCCTCTGGCTCAGGCAGCCTCTGGGTCACTAGTTCCCACCTGGCACTTATTAGACACCTACTATGTGTCAAGTTTAGGCAACTTTCTCTCCAGCCATGGTAAGCATGAGCTATTGGGATCCCCATTTTACAGATGGGGAAACTGAGGCTCAGAGAGGGGAAGAGACTTGCCCAAGGCTGCACCACTGATTAGTTGTTGGGTTATCAAATTATAAACGGTAGGACTTGACCCTAGAAGCTTAGCCTGGAAGAACAGGGAGTCTTCCGGGAGGCTCAGTTCAGTGTCTGGGGAAATTAAAGCCCAGGGAAGGGAAAGCCCACAGTTACTCAGAGTCTGGGCTGGAGTCTGGCTCAGAGTGTTCTGTCTTGATTCGAGGCCTAGAGGAAAACTCACCCAAAGGCTGAGTTTTGGCTGAGACCGTGGGTGGGATGCCAAGAAGCAGAGCATGGCGCCACCAGGCCTTCCCATTGCCCTTGTGATAAATCCCAGGAAACATTGTCTAGCATTCAAGGCCCTCCATGTCCTGCTCTCTGATGACCTTGTCATAGTCCAGGTGCCCCATGGCATAAAGCTTGTCCTGCTGACCTGTGCCACAGGCAGCTCTTCCCCAATTCAGGTTACCCTTTCAGACCGCTCTGCCCATGTTTAGCCTCCCCCCCCCGCCCCCGTCAAACATCACCTCCTCTGAGAAACCTTCCCAGACCCCCTGGAAGGAGCTAGATATTCTCCCAGGCAACTCTAGGCCCCCACTGTGCTTTTTATGTCATGGTGCTTGAATCTCCATTCATTTGAGAAACAGTTGAATTAGTCAGAACAGGCCACTTCCCTGCTCAAGAAAGACACTGCAGTGGCTCTCCACTCCCCTCAGGGGAAAAGCTAGAGTCCCTGTAATAGCCTGTGTGGCCCCATAATCCCCTCCCCCCAACCCCAGGTCCTCTTCCCTCCCTTCACACCCGCTGCTCCGGTTGCACAGGCCTCCTTGCTGCTCCAGGAACCCACCAGGCATGCTTCACCTCAGCACTGGCTGTTCCCTCTGCCGCAGATGCCCTTCTCCTGGGTGTCACTATGGTTCACTCCCACCCTGCCATCAAGACTTAATTCAAATAACATCATCGCAGTGTGGAGTGCCCCAACTAGCCAGCCTAGAACTATGGTCTGAGCCTCACTCCCATGCTCTCATTCCCTTTCTTATGCTCTGCTTTTCCCCCATGGCACTGATCATTTTCTCGCACACTTATATATCCGATTCACTAGTTAGTGGCTATTTATTGTCTGTCCTTCCCCACTAAAGCAGAAGCTCCCTGAGGGCCACCTGGATCTGTCATATTCATCACTACATCCCAACTGGCTAAAGCAGCTCCTGGCACAGAACAGGACAGGCTCAGCATTATGATAAAGGAGATGGGGAAGCTCAAGAGAGCTGCCCTCCTGGGGCTGACAGTCTCAGAGGAGAGATGGGAAGATTAGACCAGCAGTAGCACCAAAATGTGATCCTTGCTTTAAGGGAGAGTAGAGGATGATGAGTTGGAGCCTGTGGCAGGAGCAGGAATTCAGATGGGCTTGCAGTAGAGGCAGGCACTGGGTAAAGAAGGAAAGATCCCTGTAAGATGAGAGGTCAGAGAAGAACATGCATTTGGCCACAGACAGGAGGAGGAAGAATGTTCCAGCAGAGGAAACTGCATGTGAACAATCTAGAAGGGAGAGAGAGGTGGAAGAGGGTGCATTTGGGTTGGGGGCCCAGCCGTGGCCTCCTGTCCATGTGCCACCTCACTGCACCCGGAGCTCCTTGAGGGCAAGGGTATGGCGCTCATCTTGGTCCCAGCGCTGGCACAAGGCCTGGCAGTGAGTGTGCGTTAGTGAGCAACTATTGCATGAACGACTGTAGTAAGGTACGTGACCCAGCCAGAGGCAGGAGGCTCAGGACTCTGAAATCTCTGACTGAGTGTAGAATGAAGGGAGGAGAGAAGAACTCAGACACCTCGAGGCTCATTGGCATTTCACCAGCCATGTGCTTTGTGACAGAGCTCTACCCTGTGTCATCTTTAGGGCAAAGCTGGCAAGCCATGAGCAGACAGAGTTGTGTTGCAGAGGGGACCTGGTCACCCCTCAGGATGTCCTGGCCATGGTATGGCTGGGCTAGCAGGCAGACTGTGCAGGGCTCTGCCAGGCTTGGCTGACACTAAGTTGAGGAAAGGAGGACTGGGGTGACCTCAGGGGATGGCAAGCTCAGATTGCCTTTGAGCCTGTGTCCAAGACCACTATTTGTCTCTGGTGGGTGGACTACATACGTTGCAGGGATTAAGTAAGATCGGTATTGGAAAGTGCAGAGCACAGTGCATGGCACAAAAGAAGTCTTAACTAAACGGCAGTTTTGTACAGCTAGCCTGGGGGATGGGACTGGCTTCGTCACCTTTCCCCTCTGAGGGCAGAGGCTAGAGTAAAGGGTGGCTTTGGGTGGGGTAGAGACAGAGATGAGAAGCGATGGCCTTCAGGACCATCAAAGAGCCATGAAGGCAGCATTCTGCTCCTCTTCCTTCTGTCTAGGGTGCAGGCAGGGGCCGTCCCTGCTCTGCTTCCTGACCAAGAGTGTGCATTTGTGGAAAGATGAATTTGTGTGAAAGAAGGGAACTAAAAAAATTAACAAGGACAGAGACCAGAAAGTTTAGCATTGAAGTTGCAAAAGAGTTGAGCTAGATACTGTGGGTCCTGGGCTGCCCGGTGGCTGGCTGGCATTGTCTGCCTGTGTCATGCTGATGGGGCTTCGCTCCACACCAAGGATGGGGCCTGGCTTTTTGCCGGGGTGGAGATGGGAACCAATTAATGATGTCATTAGAGCTGCTGGCAGCCTTAACTCTTCTGTGACAAGTTTAAGTGCAGGATGCAGGATAAGATTTTTAAGAAGACATGTCCAGTCCCCAGGGCTCTAGAGGGGTGGGTCTGAGGTGGGGTGATGAGAAGACCAGCTGGGCAGAGCCAGGGTGGGGCCATGGGGTGTGACATCAGTGCAGGCTCCCCTGACCCACAGCCAGGACTGGGGCAGGTCTTCATGCATCACCGACCTCAGTAGCCTCATATCATCCCCTTTCTTTACCCCATGCATCCAACAGACTCCTTCTGAGACCTTCCACTGTCCAAACCTGTATCAAGCTAGGGGTCACGGGGCACCCTCAGACTGGGTCTGCTGCCAGGATGAGGAGTCAGACCTGCTCAAGAGAACATGGGGGATCCATGCGTTGATGGGGTACTCAGGTACTGAGGAGCCAGAGGAGCCACCTAACAGGGTGAACATGCATCTTGGTTTGTCTAGGACATTCCAGGTTCATGATTAGGGAAGACTGGCCCCCTCCTGTTAATTTTCCTGACTCTTAACTATATATGAGCTTTTGCTGTCATAAGTGTCTGAGTATGGACAATAAATAATATGGACAATATTGGTAATAGCCCCATATTACCAATTTCTGGGCTGAGTCTCAGAGAAGCCAAGTCACTTGCTAGTTGCAGAGACCACCCCCCTGGGTAGTGGCAAAAGAGAGTCCAGCCCTAGTTGTTCTGTCTGTCTGACTTTAGGACCGTATTCACATCACTGTCACTCTACTGCCTCTCACCTCCTTCATTCACCCAGTCATTCACTGATTGAACAAGTACTTATTTGCTGGTACAACATCATTGTACATTCTTTCCCAAGTTCAAGGAATGAAGGGAAGCCTTTGAGATCCAAGTTTCCAGAACTAACCCTTTGGAGTCGAAGCTTTCTGTGTCCCACTCCACTCAGAAGCCTGCAGAGTTGCCTATCTTATAACTGCATCAAATCTAAGTGTGCTGGTGCTGCCAGGGCTGCCAATCATCCCTTCCATGGTTGGGGAGTGAGTAAGAATTCCATTTCTTCATTTATCCATTTGCCAAAAAAACCCTGGGCACCGACTCTGTGCTGGCCCTAATGGGCACAGCGTGGCTGCTGCCTATACCTATACAGGGTGTGCACTGCATGGATTTAGGACACCCAGTCATAGCATGGCCATGTTCAGCCTAGAACAACAAAACAAGACTTTCTAGAAGAGAAGTCCTCCCCTCTCACTCTGAGGAATGCACTGGTCTTTGGCCAGAAGATATCAGAGACAGATGTCCCAGCCTTCTCCACGTCCCTCAAGGGTCGGCCTCCGTCGATGCCTTCATCTACCTCAGAAAGAGTGTTGACAACTCGTCAGTGGCTCTAGAAGCCATATGGCTGGGCCACATGACTCTTCTGGGGGCTAAATCATGCAGGAAACTAGCCTCCTCATGTCAGACTCTCTGTCTAGCTAGGCCTTCTGTCCTGTGCTTCATGCCTGGGCTGGTGAAGACAGAGAAGTGGAAGAAGGGACACCAGGAGGAAGACACCTATGAACAAGGGCTTGGAGACTGGAATGACACTGACAGGTGTGGGGAAAGTGAAGGTAGCATGTTCTCTTTCCTCGATGGCCCATGGCTTCCTTTGAGGCCACAGCAACATGTTGCAAGCCACAGTTGAGGACATCTGGACCCACCACCCACACTGGAAAGACAATATGCTAGGAATGGAAGAACACAGCAGGAGGCAATGTGGTGAGGAAGGACAGCACAACTTTATGTTCAAAGTTTCAGAAACCTTACTGGACACTTATTCTGTTCCAGCCATTGATAAGGACTATGTCCCTGAGCTCAAATTGCTCTCTGCCTAGTTCAACAACATGTCAGTGATGCTGGCCCCAGGTCACATGGCTGGGTGTGGACAGTGGGTCCAGAATTGAGGAATCTGAATAGTTCTAGGCCAGGTCATTGAACAAACCATTATTATGGGAGGGAGCAATGGTCTTGGAGTTGAAGTTCCTAAGAAGGATGGAGGAGTTTGGGTTATATCCTGGGAAGTGATGAAGCTGTGAATAGATAGTGGTGGCAGTAGATGGTAGCCAACCAGGGCTCAGGCATTGGGAAAACCAAAGATTAGGACCCCTCTTCTTATCTCTGTAGGGTGAAACGGGCTGAACGCAGCTCATGACAGCACCCATCATCTCATGTAACCCCCCCAAATATATTGTCAGCCCCATCTTACCAATGAGGAAACTGAGGCTCAGAAAAATTAAGTAACTTGGTCAAAGTCACACAGTGTCAGAACAGAGCCTGAATCCGAGGTCAGCCTGAGCCCGTACCCCATGGCCTTTCTCCTACACCAGGCAGCTCAGCTGGCCATCCACACCTGCTTGCCAAACAGAATTTCCTATGTGTGCCAGGACAACGCTGCTGACATGAGAGCAGTGAAGCAACTGAGCTCTGTCCCACCTCCCAGGACCTCAGTGTCTGGAAGCTGAGGTTCAACAAGGCAGAGACAGAGGAGTGATACACATGGGAATGCAGCAGTCTGGGACTCTTTCCTGGCTTGGCCTCTTTGCTAGCTCTGTGACTTTGCACATGTCTCTGGACCTTTCCACTCTTGCTTTCTCCATTTATAAAACTGGTTATGGAATAGATGAAAAACATATAGCCCACTGTAGGGACATAAGAAAGGTAAGTTGCTCCCCCCACCTGGGCTGTGTGTGTTTATTTGGAGCCCACTTTGCTCCAGAAAGAACTGAAGGCGGCCTCTGTCTTACCTTTACAGCTGCCCAACTTTATCAACACCACCCTCCCGCCACATGAGCAGGTGACAGCCCAGGAAATCGACAGCTACTTCCGCCAGGAGCTTATCTACAAGAGAAATGAGCGGATGGGGAAGAGGGTCATGGCACTTCTTCAGGAGAATGAAGACAAGATCTGCTTCTTTGCCTTTGGAGCAGGTTTGGACTGGAGTGGGGAAGGGATTATTTGCAGAATTCTTAAGGGCTGGGAGATTTACTAAACTCGTTTCTGACCTCTACTTCATAACAGGAGAAGTTGAGGCCCAGATTGTGCAGGAAAAGCTACCAAGTGCTCAGCAGAGCTGGGACCCAAAGTGATTCTCCTGCTTCTAGCCAAGGGTTCTTTCATATTAGTCCCCATGGACAAAGGAATTGACCCCTGCCAAGGACAATTCCTACAGCCCCTTCTGCCCCAGGAGGCCATATTGAGAGCTCAGAACGGAAGCAGCTCCCAGTACCCAGCCCAGCCTTGGGCCTCCCCACCCCCAGCAGAGCCAGACCCATGTGGCCCAGTGGGCAGAAGGCAGGCTCTGACATCCCATAGTCCTGCCTCCACATCTCAGTCCCAGCCCCATCTAGGCTGCATGACCTCAGCATAGTACCTTCTCAAAGGCTCAAGTCCCTCTGCTTTAAGTTATAGCAAAAACTATTCAATGAATTAAAAATAACTACCTTGGAAAAGGGTTGTAGAAATTAGTGGCAACATTCAAATAACTTGCCATGTAGTAAAAAATCACAGTGGCAGCTACCATTATCATGATCATCACCATGACAGTTAATACAAGTTTTATTATCCCACTGTGGACCATGAACCTGATGCTTCTCCTGGGGGCTCTGGCCTCTTCATACAAAGGGAAGCCCAGATGTCCAGGTGCAGGCCGTGCTCAGCATCTCTCCCTGTTCCTTCCCTCTCTCTCCCTCTCATTCTCCAAAATTCTTTCTTCCTTTATCTACAGCTGGCACTGCTAATGACAATGATGTCCACATGGGAACCAGGATATTGTATTTGCCTTCTTTATTAGTCAAGTTTTGTTCTAGAGCTACAAAAAATGTATTTTTTCTTATTGATACCTCAATTTGGGTTAACTGAATTTGCCTCCTGTTTTGTTAGAATTAAGCCCAGGCCTGGTGGGCACTCATAGTGCTGCCCTGTCATTTATCCCTCCCCTGGACCATTATACACACACACACCCCCATTACACACACACACAGTCTGGCCAGGTCAGGTTGAATTAGATCAAGTCAACCAGTCAGTCTAACTTGGATGCATCTTGATTTTGCTTTGGAACATGTCTACTGTTTAAGGTCTGTCTTCCTCCTGTACCCTGTTCTCTGCCATTCAACCCCATGTACTTCAAGGGCAAGTACCAGGGTTTATCTGTCTGTGCCTGTCTTTCCTCCTCTGCAGCCCTCAGCATAGGAGAGGCACATGGGAGGGCCTCAGAGAGATAGGACCTCTGGGGCAGCCTCTTCAAAGCCACATCTGAATCTGGACAAAAAGAGCTCTTGGCTCACGGTGGAACTGTGCCTCAGCCTGTGGTACCCTATGACAAGTCCCTTCCCTTTCCACAGCCTCAGTTTGCTCATCTGAGCAGGAGGAGCCAAAACTCACTTGGGCCATCTGTGATTGCAGGAGCTGTTCAAGCAGTGTTTAGAGTAGGAAAGAATTCCTGTAGCCTGGAGAAGCCAGCAGGGGTGGGACCTTAACTAACCATACAGAGAGGGCAAGGCCACTTACCAGCTGCAGGACACCTGCTGGAGACCTGGCATGAGTCAGGACAGCTTTGGGAACTGTGCAGAGAAGTAAGTGCTCCCCAACACACCCTCTCACATCATCCAGTCATCCAGCTGCCTCCTTCGCCCCCCACTGTGGACATCTGGAAAGGGCACTCTGCTCTTGAATGGTCCCCAGCTGACCACAACAGCTGGCCACTCTGATCTCGACCAGTCCCAAGCTTCCTCTCTGACCAAAAAAAGTCCCTATTGAACTTGACCACTGAAGGCCAGTAAATAATCCAGCATTTCTCATGCCTCACTTGAGTGGCAGGACCTTTCTGTCCCATTAGCCCCAGGGCCCAGGACTAGAGTCTTCCCAGGGTCTGGATGTAGCTAAAACCAGTTCTTTCCTGTGGGCAAGGAAACAGGAGAGCCTAGAGATTAAAGTCACAACAGTGTGGGCAGCCCTGGACCCTGACTTCTTTCCCTGAAATCTGAGTTCATAGTGGAGACACAAATGTCCACTCAGGCAACAGGCCAGCATGCAAGCATCACGCCCAACTCTAGTTTCTTCCCCATCCCTGAAATCCAATTGGTCCTGTGTGGGTCTTGTTGACAGACCACCAAGAACACTCACACCTGTCTACTCCATCTATCTCCAATGCGATTGTCCTGGTCCAAGCCTTCATCAGCTCCAACATCCTCGTCTCCCCCCCCCATCTCTGCACTGATACCTACATTGTAGCCTGTGCATGGTGCTGAGTCTGTCTCCCACCCCCACCTTTAGCTCTGGGAGCACAGGCACCACTTAATCATCCCTGTGTTTTTAGTAGCATGTAAAAGGTTCTGAGCCTGGTAGTGTGTGAAAGAATGAATGAGAAGAAAAGAACAAATGAATGTTAACCAGCTCTTTCCCTCCTGGTCTCTTCTGGGCCTGGTGAAGCCAGAGAACAGGCCAGTAATAAAGTCAGGGTGATGTGAACCCCACCTCACCTCTCAGAGACCTGCTCTCCAATAACAACAGGCCTGCAGCCATGTGCAGATGTTGCTGACAGCTGCCACTTCTGACTCAGCCATGCCAGAACACATGGACCTCTCTGTGCTATAAATCTATGCCTTGACCCAAGAATTTCTAGTCTGGATGGGTCTGTCCACCTCATCGTAGTCATGGAAGAATGAGGTCCACAGAGGCCAGAACATAGGCAAAGCTCATAACAAGCTGAGGACAAAGCCAAGACAGACCCAGCCTGGGAGCTATGACCCAGGATTCTGTTCTTTTATATAAGCAGGGAGCCAGCTGAGCAGGCCTGTGACAGTCAGTGTGTTAGCATGGAATGTGTCCATACACAATCCATGGCAAGAGACATCCACACCTGCCTCATTGCCTTCTTATGACCATATTAACTGCTAAGTCCCACATCCTATGACAAGCTGAGAATTTGGGTGCAGGGCCAGACCAAACACTATTCTGCAGGGTGTGACCTGAAGACACATTCACTCCACAACCACCGGATAGGTGCCTCTGAAGGTCCATCTCAGGCCTTCCCAGACCACTGGGCCATGGAGGCCTGAGTCAGTCTGACTCTTCTTGTCCATCCACTTTTCAGTCCTCAAAGAAGACAAAGGGTCCCAAGGCTGTGGGAGGGAGGGAGGGCCTTTGCCACTGGAGATGTGCCTAGCCATCCTCCAGGTGTGTGTCTACTCATGCAAAGGTCTCTCAGATCCAGTTTTCACTGGGCATCCCCAGGAAATAGCTTGGGAAATAGAAACATACTTATAAGACACCCATCCACCCCGCGGGCCTGCCTTGCCAGTTGTCTGAGCTGCACCCCTGCTGAGGTTTTGCCTTTCTGCCATGGGCCAGCCTCAAAAGCCATTGAAGGCCCTGAAGGCTCCCTGGCTATAAAGCCCTGGGAAGGAGTCACACAAGCTAAAGAAGGAGAGAGAGGCAGGGGATGTTCCTGCCTTCACCTGCCTGCCCACTCCTCCAAGTACATATCCAGACCCTTCCCAGCCCACCCCTACCCCAGAATCCTGCCTTGAAAGCTGGGATTTCGAGTGTTGATGGTAGACTGGTCCCTCCTCTGTTCAGCTCCCCAGGAGGATCTGGGGCAAAGAGTCAGAGCTTTGGAGTCAAGATGCCTGGGTGTAAGGTGTGGTTCTACCACTGTCAGCTAAGTGAGCCTGGGAAAGCCATCTCACCTCCAAGGGCCTCGGCCCCTCTCTGTAAAATGGTAATAATACACCCACCTCAATGGGCTGTACTAGATACACTTGTTTTAGATCACAGGGTTAAAAGTCTCCACCAGGATGGAGGGATCCTAATAATAAAACCCCTGCTGTGTGCCAGCCACAGGTCCAACTTCTTGGATTTCATTGCTTTTAATCCTCATAGTAACACCACAAGATGGGTTTTATTACACACATTTTCCCAATGAAAACCAAGGCCCAGAGAGGATGAATGGCTTCCACAAGGCCGTGCAGGCAGACCTTTGAATCCTGGCCTCTTGGGTGCAGGTCCTGGCCATTTCTCCTATACATGGGGCCCTTGCTGTATACTTCCAGAAGTGCTGATGATTTTGTGGGGAGGTTGTCTTTTTAGCTGGTGCATCTCACAAAAGAATACTCTCCTTGTGTCCATGAGGTTTCTGCAGCAAGGCACTACTGGGCCTTTTCTAGAGGCCAGCAGAATAACCTCTTCAGCAGGTTCAGGGACAGTTAGGGTGCAGGCATGTGTGAAAGCTCTGCGCAGGCCTGGGTGACATCTGGGGGCCTGGATGAAAGCCCTTTCTCTCCAGGAGATAGCTGTAGCCAGTGTGCAAACCAATGTTCTAGAAAGGACCAAGCCACCGCCATGGAGGAGTGAGCCAACACAGGGGGAGGGGCAGTCTGATTCCCAACTGCCAGGATCACAAAGATGGACAAGCTGACCCTGGAGAACCTCCGGAGACCTTATGTGGGTTTTTGGATCTCCTCTGGCCTACAAAGAACGAAGAAAAATAAGTAAAAGGTGGGGACTATTTTATTAGGTAATTTTATGCAATTGCTTGCTTATCTTTTAGTTTGAGATGACCTTTTTTTCTACTGTGTTTGAAGTTAAATATTCTTTTTTAAAACATAATGGTGATATAAAACAAATGGGGCTTTTAAAGCCTTTACTTGGCAAAACAAAAAGTTAGTAACTGTATTATTTCACCCAACTTTTCTAGAGATAGGAGGGAACTAAGCATGCTTAACACATAATGGAAGGACTCAAGTAGAGGGAGGATGATACAGGAGAAAGAGTGGGAGAAAATTACTAGCCTAGGATTCTGAGAAGGCAGGAAAGGGTAGAATCAGAGTTCAGGTAGAGGATTTGTCCTTGGGTAGAGGAGGGCACCTTCTCACCCGCAATCAAAGGGAAGGAGGGAGGAGGCCAGCAGACAGGTAATTTGGTGGTGGGA